CGTGATAAATGCATGAATCAGTTTTTCTGCATCATTTTTGGACAAAATGTTTCTAATTTTAGTGATATTACTCAGGTGGAAGAAGGCTGTCCTGATAACATTTTTAATTTGGGGGTTAAAAGACAAGTCCTGATCAAAACCACCACACAAACATGTTTATTTTCTGAGGCGGTACATTCAATTCCTTRTAAGGTGGACGAGTCCAGCTCTGCAACTGAAACGTACACTCACATTTTCTCAACATGTCAGTTTGTACCAAGTACTCCAGACACCACACCTGCTTTCCTTTTCTGATTTCCTGAATGGTCTGCCAGAACCACCTTGAGGACAACTGAAAGTCCTTGTCCATGGCCTCCCCAAATTCCACTTATGCCTAAGTTTTTGCATCCACAGTCCTTCTGGCAACCCTGTAATGCCTGTCAGCTGGTGTACACCAGAGGGTCCTTTAGTTGATGCCAATGACCAATGACCTTTAGGCCACAGCTCCTGGAAGCCACGTCTACTATAGAAACCCTGAACATGGTCCATTTAGATTCCATGTCCCCAGCCTCCCCTGAGACGTGAAAAACTCTCCACACAGAAGTCTGGTAACAGAACACTGTTTGGGTTCAGTTCAGGAAGGCCTTTCTTCCTAGTCACCTCCTTCCAGATGAACAAATTAGGAGTTGTTCATTTTTATAAGAAGATAAACTGTGTCAGCTACAAACACTCTGCTAGCCTTTTTGGACACCCTAGTCACAGCTTGAACCCTTGGAGACCAGAAACTGGTCAACATGTGGGAGACTGTCCTGTCAGAGTTTCCCCATTCAACCTGAGAACATGTAGAGACCATTTCCAGTGCTTTCCTGGAGTGTTCAACAGGAAACCTTCTACATCAAAGTCAGATCTCTTATTATATGGTTATGGTAATTATTCTGGGATAATGTCCTGATGCATCTCAGTAATCCAGGAAGAAAAAATCAAAAAGAAAAAAATAAGCAGGTCCTCTGGATGGGTTCTTCTTTAGTGAAGCGTTTCATCTCCCCTCCAAGAGAGTTCTTCAGACGAGCTACTTCGTCGGGTCAGGACTCTGCAGTTTACACTCAACTACAGGCAGGACTCTGCAGTTTACACTCAACTACAGGCCAGGACTCTGCAGTTTACACTCATCTACAGNCCCTCTTTGTGTTGGTATCATTGGGGCCCTGATTCACACCTTTTGCTCACAGGGGGCGGAGTCATACTTGCAATAACAGCGTTGTAGGAGGACAACTGGACACGCAGGCCTCCACCGTCTATGCTGGCTCTGTTCAAAAGAATGAGCCAGCACAGAGGAGCTACTTCGTCGGGTCAGGACTCTGCAGTTTACACTCAACTACAGGCCAGGACTCTGCAGTTTACACTCAACTACAGGCCAGGACTCTGCAGTTTACACTCATCTACAGGCCAGCAGTCACTCTTTCAGGGATGAAGATGTTCGCATCCTTGATAGAGAGGAACGTTGGTTTGAGAGAGGAGTAAAGGAAGCCATCTTTGTGAAGAAAGACCATCCACCATTAAACAGAGGTGGAGGCCTCCGTTTTCAGTTGTCTTCCGCCTACAATGCTATCATTGCGAGTATGACTCAGCCCCCTGTGAGCAAAAGGTGTGACTCAGGGCCCCACTGATACCAACACAAAGAGGGAAAAAACAAAAACAAGGGGACGTTGAGCCCCGCTTGCATTCACTACATTCACATAACACGACACGGGTCAGGTGATGGTGCACATGACCCTCTATGAATAATAGAACTAATCAAGCCTACTGTTAGGCGATGGCCCTCTTTTGCATGTGACTAACCTGTTTGTCCATGTGGAGGCGGAGCTTATAAGGCTGAGTTCACCTGAAACTCATCAGACTGAAGAAGTCTCTTGGAGGAGAGACGAAACGTTTCAGTAAAGAAGAACCCATCCAGAGGACCTACTTATTTTTTTCTTTTTGATTCTGGGATAATAACAATCAGAGACTCATTAAAGTAACAGTACTTCCTTTATTTATTTTAATATGTAATTATACCAGGTAGTTTCCCTTCTCTCATCCTAAATATGGTTTAATCAGAATCTTGTTAATCCATATTTACTGTCTGAACATCAGTTTCAGTCATCCWTGAATTTGACCATCTTTTTGCCATAAAATTTACCTGAAATTATTTATTCATAACTTATGATACGTAAAGATTGTAATAAAATCCAATAAATAGCTAAAGTATAGCTGTCCCATTTCTTCTGTGAGATGTCAGGGTGTTTACTGTGCTGACAGACATAAAGAGGAGTTTGTTAACTCAAAACAAAAGTTATGTTTTACAGCTGGTAATAACTTGTTCAGAGATGCTAACATCTCACAGGTGGGTCAGTCTTGAAGCCTCCACCKGTGAAGTGAGGTCTGCTGCTCAGCTGGGTCACAGGCTCCAGTTGATCCACTTTGGTCCTGGTTTTCTGCTCACTAAAGATGAATAAAACAAAGCATTACAGAGAGTGAATAAAACCCACGTACATTAATGATTACAACATAAAACAAAATCAGTCCTTACCTGTGCAGCTTCTTTTGATTCAGATACTTCTTTTTCACATTTTCTAACTCACTGGTCAGCCTTTGATTTTCAGTTTTGTACTCTTTTATGTTTGAGTTGAGCATTGTCAGTTCTGCTATCAGCGCCTGTAGAATCACAGAAAACACTCAACAACAGAAGGGATTACTGAGACGCATCCAGTCAAGTCATACAGTAAATAAAATGGAGACATGCCAGACAACCACAAACACAGGGGAACATGTATAAACTGAAGAAAGCCTGGGCCTGATGACCTTCAGTTTTTTGGTGCGCTCTCTGAGGGTCCACTGACACTGCTGCAGCTGYTCAGCTGCCTCTGGACCAGGCCGCTTGGCCAAAATCTGCTTCAGCTCCACATACAGCTTCTCCTTTTCCTTGGTAGGAAATTAGAAAAGAAAACGTTTATTTTAGATGAGCAGCATGAAAAATATTTTTTAGACTCAGAACCTTTTGGATTAACAAAGAAAAGGAAAAGTAAGCAAGTTCATTTGTGTCTAAGAGCAGAAACAAACTTTATTTCTGATGTGTTCTCATTTTGAAAAATTTGTTAAAAGAGGTTTATTGAGACCTTTTACCCACCTACTATAATTTTGTTGTGGAAGGTTTTAACATTAAACTAAGCCTTTTTCAGCCTGAAAAACGAATATACTACAAACCTGAACCATTATAAAACTAGAAGCACTCGGAGAGTGCAAACCTCCGCCAAGACCAATTTCACCCATCCTGTAAGAGTTAATGTGCAAAAGCAGAGATGGAAACAAATTTACAGAATAAGTTCTGATGTAGTGAACATTTAAGCAGCAGTATGCACGGGATTTCTTCTCGGTGGAGTCCAATGTGAAAAAACATAAAGTCAGACTCGTCACCCGATGTTATTCATGGTCAAACTGGTGTGGGATTAAG